TTCCCCTTTTCCCTAGCAAAGATTGAGGCAGAGGAGAGCTGCCATGTGACAGGCCTGCTATTCCACGCACAGGACGCTGCCTTTGAAAGCAAGCAGGGATGTGAGCGGGAGCCGATGGAAGGGTTCAGTAAGAGGGTTGGCAGAGTGAAGGCTTGCGATGGGAACCAGGGCAGGAGGAAGGTGGCTAGGCACTGTACAGCACCTTCGATGTGAGGTCCAGATGTGGCAGAAGGGTGTGATTGGAGAGGCGAGTGTGGGAGGGGGTTTGCTCTGCAGTGCCCTGAATGGATCATGGAGGGGAGAGGTGACAGGCCATGAAAGATGGGGTATTAGTGAAGGTTACAATAATCACACTGAGCAAGCCTGAAGGGAAGGGACATGCTTCTGTGGGGAGAGAGGATGTGGCTGTGCTGGAGACATTATAGAGGTAAAAGTGTCAGGATTTGGCGAGAACTTGGGTGTGAGCAGGGAAGATTAAAGAGGAATCAAAGATCATCCCAAGGTTGCTTGCTTGGTGATCTGAGGTCACTTTCCACAGGCATTGTTCCCCCTCATGTTTTTCCATGGACCAGTGGAATAAATTTTGTTATGTACACCACCAAATAGAACCACATAGTGCTGGCTGTGGGTGTTCTGCTGATCAGCTGGGTGGCATTGAATCTCTCCTGGAGTCTGCCCAAGCGTTCAGCTTATGGGGAACACTGTCCAGAGGTGGCGAAGGGAATGGAGGAAGCCAAGGGGGGCTGAGGTGACGGGAGGCAGGAAAGGAGATGTCCATGAGAGAGGTGATGGAGCGAGGGAGAGGTTTGATTTACTGGATTAGAGGGAGTTGGAGTGGAGAGGGGGCTGTTGAGAAGTCCGGTCCATCCAGAGGAGGTTTTTGTAAAGACTAAACGAGACAACAGCCTGATGGAAAGCCCTTGAGAGCGAAGGGCAGATGCCGAGGAAGCCAGAGGAACAGGTTAAGGGGTTACACTTGCAGGGATTCCCAGACCGTGTTACGTGTCACGCTGGGGGGGGTGAGTCTGATGTTCCATCCGTTCTCCCCAGAGCATTTTCAAGAAGGTGGCATGTGTGGGAGGGAAGAGTGCAAAGGATGAGGAGGACTCCCCCCTCGGGCCTTTTAGCCCCGTGCTTAGGGCACTTGCTGGGTTCAGTTCCGAGTTGAACAGCGATCTGCTTCTACCCAGAGTGCTGTGAGCACAGCTCCCGATTGGGCCCTGCATGCGACTTAGGCAGCGACCACCTATCTGCCGGTCTGAGAGTCGCTCCGGGGATGAGGTGGGGCACCTAGGTGGGAACTTCCATTGCTGGGGGTGTTTGGGTGCCTCCAGGGGTCGGAGGTAGCTCTGCGATCACAGAGGAGCTGAACGCTGGGATTTAGGTGTCCTGTGCTTTTGTGGCTCTAGAGCTAAGTGCCCCGGGTCACGCAGCAGAGCAGAGAAATGAGCTTGGGTCTCTCAAGTCCTAGGCTAGTGCCCTGCCTTCCCCTCTCAGTTCTGGTACCAATACTGGGATGTAGTGTCAGTACCTTGCTGGTTGCTGTGGATGGCCCCTACTGGCCTCTGTCTGTGAGCACTGCCCAGCGGGGGGCACCTTGAGGGCCCCCATGACAGCTACCGGTTAAGGGGAGGGAGTGTCGGGGCACAGGACTAGGAGCCAGGAAATCTTCAGTTACGATTTGGGCTCTAGTGGCCTGCTGCTGCCCTTGGGCCGCTCATGTCACGTTCTCCAGAGTCCAGGCCTCAGTTTCCCCATCTGCAAATGGAGATTTGCCTCTTGGCTCCTGCCGCCACCTGCTCCTTATTCCATCAGCTGGGGTTGGGCTGTGCAAATGTCCATTGTCATTGTCCAAGGCAGCGCTAAGACCCACCATCCTTTCTGGTGCAGTCCATCCATCCCTTCCTCTGCTTTCCTCAGGATCTCTCTCCTTTCTCCCCTCCCCTCCCTCCTGCTGTTTTCACCAGGTCCCTTACCTTCATCCACTGCATGTGTCTGACCCAGCCACATTACTGTTCGCTACCCCTGTGCAAACTCAGCCAAGGCAGTGGGATTCATAGATCCCAAGCCCAGAAGGGACCATCCAATCTGACCTCCTGGATAACACAGGCCAGAGAAGTTCCCCAAACTAATTCTCAGAGCCGATCTGTTAGAAAAAGTTCCAATCTCGATTTTAAAAATTGCCCGTGCTGGGGAATCTACCGCAGACTTGGCAGATTGTTCCAGTGCTTAATTACTCTCGCTCTCTCACAAATGTGCATCTTGTTGGCGGTCTGAACGTGTCAGCTCTATGGTTCTATGATTCTAGCTTCAACTTCCAGTCGCTGCTTCATCGTTTGATTGGAATATATTTTAAAAAAAACCACTCTCCTTATTTTTCTTAAGTCTGCTGGCCTTTGGTTTTTACTTGAGCGTCTTGGCTTCCCTTATCAATTTTCTGTAATTCCTAACTTCTGGTTTATGGTTTACTATCAACTTCTGCTTTCTTCCATTAGTTAACTATTTATTTATATATTTTGCAACTGCCTTCTCTTCCCCTCTATCCCAGGCTGTAGTTTTAGCCAGCACCACCTTCTTCCTCAGTTGTGGGACAGTGGCTTTTTGGTCATCTCAGTGAGGTGTTCTTAAAGGGTTCCCAGTTCGTCACATTTGTGTAATTATGTTCTTTCTCTCAGCTGATTTGGCTTAAAATGTATCCTGTTAGAACATACATAAGAACGGCCATACTGGGTCAGACCAAAGGTCCATCTAGCCCAGTAGCCTGTCTGCTGACAGTGGCCAGCACCAGGTGCCCCAGAGAGGGTGGACCAAAGACAATGATCAAGCGATTTGTCTCCTGCCAACCCTCTCCAGCCTCTGACAGAGGCCAAGAACACCATTTTATCCCCTGGTTAATAGCCTTTTATGGACCTAACCTCCATGAAATTATCTAGCTTCTCTTTAAACTCTGTTATAGTCCTAGCCTTTACAGCCTCCTCTGGCAAGGAGTTCCACAGGTTGACTACACACTGTGTGAAGAAGAACTTTCTTTTATTAGTTTTAAACCTGCTACCCGTTAATTTCATTTGGTGTCCTCTAGTTCTTCTATTTAGGAAACTAACAGACAACTGAGAATATCCCATATATATAAATATAATTATCCCCTTATTACCTTACCCATTACAAAGATAGCTTCCCCACTTATCACCTCTGATTAGCCATTCATTGACTCATAAATAGCTATTCCCTCCCTCCCTGTCCCTCGCCCCACCTTCTGTACTAAATCTGATTGGTCAGTTTAATAATGTGTTTACTTTTTTCATTGTATTCCTTTGGTATATAGGGTCATGCCAATTCTCTTCCAGAATCTGATCTGAGGAAGTGGGTCTGGCCCACGAAAGCTCATCACCTAAGAAACCATCTTGTTAGTTTTTAAAGTGCTACATGGTTTTTCTTTTTGCTGTACCCTAAATATATGAGAGAGTCTTTGTGTCCGTTCAAGAACTCTCCCTGAATGACGAGGGGGCCTATGGCACCGAGAAGACGAACTGATTTATTTGGGCATCAGCTTCCATGGGTGAACCGAATAAATCGGTTCGTCTTTCCAGTGCCACAGGACTCCTCGTTGATGACACAGATTCACACGGCTGTCCCTCGGAGACTCCTACATGCTGAGAACTTGGGCTATCGAATGTGATGTGCAGCTTCTTCTTCTCTGGCTTCGGTCGAGCCAGGGAAACAGGCTGGGCCTGGAGTGGGATTGCTTTCATAAAGCAGACTCCCCAGGCACTGCCCCCCTTCCGGGACTGCCGAAGGATGCTCTCCCCCCGCACCCTGATTTGAACGGGACCCTGGCTGGCTGTTCCTCTTGGTCAGGGAGCAAGGGGCAAGTGCCCGGTTTGCTGCATTCCCACTCTGGTGGGGAGTGCAGGGGGCAGATGAACTTGGACCTGCCTGGGCCGGGCTGGAGGGACATGCACCTCTCCCCCAGCTGTGCCCACTGGAGATACAGTGGCCATAGAGAGGCGCTTCTCACTTGGCCCCAAACTGCTGCGACGAGAAAGAGCTGGAGTTGTCCTCTCTCCCCGGGGCAGCCTGCCCCCCAGCCCCTTCCGCCCCCCCAGCCCCTTCTCCAGCCCCGCCCCAGAGCAATGATTCTAATGGCAAAAAAATTAATTGAGGTTAGGACCCGAGCAACCTCTCTGGGTCAATCTTCTAGTGTGTGTGTGTGTCTGTGTGTCTGGGTGTCTGTGTGTCTGTGTGTGTGTCTGTGTGTCTGTGTGTCTGTGTGTGTGTGTTTTACTTCTCTGGACTTTATTCTGCTTGCGCTTTGTAAGTGTGGTAAGTCATGCTCACTCATACCTAAGCTCCCCTCCCTTTTCAGTTCTGGGATCGCACAGGACTCAACTGAACAACAACGTGGTGGATCATGATGGCATCCCAGAGGCCCTAAGCTGTAGAGATCGGAGTTGGCTGTTGATACAGGTGTCACGGTGGGTTTTATTTGCCCTGTTAGTTACAGTTTACGGGTGTGCAGGGAAAAGGATCCAGCTTCACGGGGCGTTGGGGTGGCGAGGATGAGTCTGTGGATTAGGAAAACCATTGTTTTACTTGCACGCTGGTCACCTTTGCAATGAACTCCCGGAGAGATGACCAACGTGGAGCCTTGCTGTGGGCTATTGACAGGGAGTTTTCAGGACAGCTGCGGGCTAGTTTCATATTGGACGTCTGCAACATAAGTGTAAAAACCAAACCAGGCTTGGTGTGGACTAGCAGTCAGTGCTTGGGGCTCGGAAGCATTCGCTAGTCCTGGATTGTGGCCAAGTGTAGATTTCATTCCCAGCTCTGTGTGCAGTCGATAAAGACAAAAACATTTGAAAATGCCGTGTGGGGCATATAGACAACACAGTGTTGTCAACTCTCTTTTTTAAGCAGTGTGACGCTGCAGTGGTGAACCAGGGTGTGGTTATTGGGCATTGCATGCCAAAAGCCGCGATGGTTTATTTAGGACTGTGCACTGGGATGTGTGGTTGTGTGTGGTGTGATTGCTCACAAACACACGAATGCGCAGGGCGGTTAGCCAAGGAAGCAAAATGCAAAGCAATGCTAATTCAGAGTAATGCTGAGAGAGAAAAACCAAAGTCCAAACATTCCAAAATATGGATCCACAGGCTGGAGTTTAGAGTGTTGTAGTTAAAACCATACAGAGGAATCTGTTTGCCATTACAAGGGAGATACTGTGTACAATGAAACAAGGTCTGTATGTGAAAGGGCTGGCGGGGAAACTAATTTTACTGTCCAGGTTTGTGTGATCAGAGCCCCTGAACATTAAGGGTTTTGCTTGTAGTGCCTGTGGGTGTTTTAAGGCCAGGTTAAGAGCTGCGTGTCCAGTGGAGGGGCCTGTGTTTGCTTGGGGGGCTCTGCTGTAGGGATGTTAAAATTAGATGAATCAACTAATCGAATAGTCAGCATTTCCATCGACTGTTCGACTAGCCGCTTCCGCTGTGGAATGTAGCAAGAGCCTGCCCGGCGGTTGCTGTATGTCAAAGGTGGAAGTGCCGACCTGCCCCCTTCCACGGAGCTGGAGCAGATTTTGAAGCTGGCTCCCCCCAGAACCCCTTCCTCTCTCTCCCCCTCCCTCTTTCCGATAGAGGCAACGAGCCGGGGAGGGAAGGGACTAGGATGAGATGCTGCTTCTCGGCTAGTCGCCTGGTGGCTTACATCCCTGCTGTGCTGGGGGTTCTCCAGTGTCAATGACGGGAGTGGTGCTAGGCCTGCCTTGCGCCTGGCTGCCGAGCCCAGCGTTGGCGCTCGGAGAGCTTTCGAGAGCAGGCAGAGCTCTTCTGCCCCAGCCCTTCACTGCCGTGGCTTTTATGTCCCCACCTGGGGCCAGGTCTCCAGTCTAGTCACAGACAGGGAGCCGCCGGTCTCCGTGGAGCGATTACATTCCCAGGTAGCGCGCTCTTGCAGCTAGCTGCGTTACAGACTGGCAGAGCGCGAACCCCAAGTCCGTTAGCGCTGGCTCATTGGCCCAGGTCACAAGGCCGGTCCGGCCCTTGGGTGCTTCGGGATGAGAGGAGTCTTGAGCTCTTCTCCTCTGGTTCCTCTGCAGTCCCTAGAAGAGTAAATAGCAAACCAAGGCCTTACTGCATTAGCCCCTTGGCAAGCGTCTGTGTGTGCTTGCCCTGTGCTTTAGGCCAAGACCCTACATCCCAGTTCTCATCTTGACAAAGACCAGGGCTTTCGGCGTGCGTCCGACGGCCAGCCTGGCCACAAGCGCGTTTCACTCGGGCTGTAGTATCTCCTGTCTGCCGACACGTGAGACGTGTTTGTGACGTAGTGGGGGTACTTGCTGGGCTGTGGTGACCCCTGCTGTCTGGAGCAAGACCCAGCAGGGAAAACCTCGCTAGGCAGAGGTAAGGCCAAACTTGTTGAGCCAGGGGCCAGACACCCCCCATGGAGAGGAACAAAGGAAGGTGGAATGCTGCCCTGCTGCAGGGGCAGGGCTGGAAGGGAATTTAGTTAGACTGTGGGAGAGCATGGAGGAGAACCTAGGAGAAGGGACTGGAGTTTAGGGGCCCAGTCTCCCCCC